AAGTCAAAAAAGTTTGACTCTACTTCAGGTAAGTCCAATATCTAACTCTATTAAGTTCCTATTTGGAGATTCTTAATACATGATGTAATGTAATTACATTTTGATGTTTTTGAGAATCGAAGAAAAGAAAAGAAACTTAAAGGAAGAATAAGTTGATTCTAATCGCGAAGAGATGGATTTCGATCGCATGGTTCGGTGATCAGAATTTTGAGATGTTGCTTAAGAGTTGTGATAAATTGCTTAGGAATAGATAACAACATAGTTTTCATTTGTAATTGCATTGTAAGGAAAAAAATTTCTGCAGTTTTGTAAATAAAGAAAAGTTTTTTTTATTTTATCTTATTTTAAGTTTCCTTACAATGGCATTTGTGAAAATTGTTGTTTATATGATTCCATTAATAGCAATATTGGAAAATGGATTTGATTCTTTCGTTTGTGGTAGCGTCAAAATTTACCAAATAAGGAAAGATTCTCATCACCCAAGTTTCAGTTGGATAGAAACTTGGAATCATGCAAGTTGTATTGTGTGATGAATGAAAATTTTTGTCTTTGGGAAATAAGACTAATTCCTTGTTCACATGTATATGTGAGTCAAGTGAAGGACTAGGGGATTGGGTACACTTGGTTCTGCGCTGGTCAGGTCCACCACAAAGCGCGATAAGACTATTCGTTATAATTTACTAAAGTTTAGTAAATATGGTTATGCTTACAAGTTTAAGTGTAATTCTGAAACATTGGAATAATTTCAATGTTTGGCAGAACGAATGAGAAGAATCAAATTAGGCAGAAAGATAAAAGTTTCTCCAATCTGAAAAGATGGGAGAGTACTTTAGTATCGTATTTTATGATCATCTTAATGATTATAGAAAACCATATCACAATTGATCCTATAAGGATATCTTAGTGCATTTGTATGGCTAAGAAGAGGAATCGTGAATTGTTGAAATGGTTAAGTCAAGAAGATGAGTCATACTTCGTTCCAAAAACAAGTCTTAGAGTCATACTCCAAGATTGTGCCTTGAGTGACATAATCTTAAGAAAGGTTTATAACACTTATCAAATGTAGAGTCTAATGTTTTCTACTTTTGTACATTTGAAATTAGTAAGTTGTGATGTCTTGGATAAGACAAAGACCAACTAAGACCAATTGTGTGAAGTGTTTTTCTTGATTAGTAACCGTACTAACTCTTGAATATTTGTTTGTCAAGTAATGTCTCTTGACAAAAGAGAATCTTATATGTCAAGAGGTCAGTGGGAGTCTTAAAGATCTTGACAAAAGGTTCAAGAACTAATCAAGAGTAAACTTGTTGTTAATCACTAGCACACGACCTGAGGTTTGTAACCTATCGTGTTGACATATTCTCGTTTATGTGCCCATTCCAGTTGAAGTTGACTATGCATGTGAGTTCTATGAGTTCTTAATTGTCTGCATAATAGCCTAGAAGCAATGGTAGGCCTTTGTGCTGCCAAGTGGCAAGAAATTAAGATTGAACAAGTTCAGTCCATATGAGTTTGGATTTGTCACTAACCTTGTCTTGTGATTATGGTTATGACAGATTCACATGGATAGGAACACATACACCATAAAAATCTAAGTGTCATAAGGTTTCTATCCAATTTATGAAAATGATTGTGAGGAAACGCTTTCACTAAGAAGATTTTAAAGAGTTAGTAATTATGATATTTGCATTCTCAAATTCGATTATGATTACGGTATCCCTCTTCATAGTTCGAATTGTGAGAAATGGCAAGGATCTAAACATTTGAGAATTATTGCTGTAAGTTCTAAAATTGTTTAAACACACATGTGAGCTATTTAAGGAAACGTGTATGAGTTGGAGAAGCATAGATAAAGTATTATTGAAGCATCTCGTACCAGAAATCTGAACTTTGGTAAGGAAGTCAATAAGTATTGATTTATAGAAGTCCAGCTGATTTCTGGGTACATGTCAAAGCTAGTGGGAGCATAAGTGTTATGCTAGTAAATAATTATTATGCTAGTGGGAGCATAATTATTATGGTAAGTGTTGCAAGTTAGCAATGTTAATTATAGAAAACAAAAGGTTTCAATTTGCAAAGTTGCAGGGTTTGAAAAGTCGTTTTGCTATAATTAAAGGAGAGGAATTCATACTTCATTTCAAATCTAAAAGTTTAGATTGATATTTTAATCAAATTTAGTAAAAAAACATATAGGGATGTTATGTTGAAATGATTCAACATAAGGAAATTATATTTGTGGAAATATTATAGCAAGAGACTGGTCACGTCTTTATGTGAGACATTATGTATCGTATCCCATATGCTTCGGGTATAGGATCGAAATGAATATGCTATAATATTAATTTGTTCTAGCTTTCCAAATGCATAGGGCATTAAGAGAAAAAAAGAGGAATAGAACCGTATACGACTAAAGTGGTTAAGCAATTGTCGAGGACAAACTGAGGTTTACCAAAGATTGGTTGCTAATGGACAGTTGGAAGTATAGTGTAAATTTTGGAAGGACCATGTTGGCATACTCTGAGAAGAGGTAACTCTTGTTCAGAAGTGATAGTCAAAATGGGAATGTTTCCATAAGTGGAAGGTATTCTTTAAATCTGTGTAAGATTAGAAAACTTAATACAAGAAGGATGTTCAAAGGAATGTACTTTGAATGTGAGACTTCGTTTCCATGGAATTGATCTCCATTGGAATACTTTGTAATGTCTGTTGCCAAGACTCTGTGACTTTTATGCATAGTCATTACAATAGGATCATTGCATATAAGTTTAGAATCTAACAGATTTTAGTAAATAGGAAGAATTTGGTATTCTTACATTTATCATAAGGATTTGGAATTGTGAAATGAGCATCATTGAAATGTTGTCAATTGATCTATTTCACAAAGAAAGGACCATATGCAAACTTAGTGTGCATGCTTGGAGCATGGGATAACTATTGTTTTAATTCAATTATTAAGTTGATTATTCAAAACATTATACAATAAATAATGAGTAATCAATATGGCGATTAGATAAAATGTGTTTTATTTACACTCAAAAAGTTTTGGGGCCATATAGGATTAGTATTATTCTTTGTGTTTCACTTTGCATGTTTTGACTTCCCAAATAACTAGGTTATTCAAACCATCCACAGTCGATCATACTTTGGAAGTAGGTATTGAGACAAGACTGTCATGAATGGGTCTGTAGGATTGTCTAAGGTGTTAGACATAACACAAGTTTGTTGCAGTATTCATGAGTACTCCTGTAATAAGATTTGAGTATTGGATTCAACCCACACTCATTTGTATCACTTCATGGATTTTATCACGAGTGATCATGAGACGATAATATCTTATATTCTTGAAACCATGACATGTGAGTTGTAATTTACAAGTCGGTTGCACATTGACATATGTAAACGCACCAGTAACTTGGTGTTATAAAACATATCGTTGTGTGTGATTTTATGAGTAAGTACAAGCAAGCATTTGAGTCGAATTTTATCCATTCCTTTTACCCTTAGAGGGATAAAAGCAATATATGTGGGCCCCTCGATGATTTAATGATGACAACCCTAAGTGCTTGGCCAAGTCTGGACTGATTTGATATGTTCAATTAGTCAGTCGTCATAAATCGGAAATCGGGAAACAACAAATGGACAGAGAGAATGATTATAATTCATGTCTCATGTCCATATGATATCTAGTATGGAGGAATATATGATCCCTTATCTAATGGACGCGTCATTTGATTTGTTCAGAGTTCGACAGCGGCTTTTGAGAGCTACGATTGCTAATCGGATTTTGGAGTCGTACTTGCAATAATAGTTATTAGACTTATCCAAGTGGGAGACTGTTGGATTAGGTGTCTAAGCCCATAACTATAATTGATATGTACTTGACCTGATAGTAGCATGGTCCATTTCGGGTTGCCTTCATCAGGACAATTTGATAGGATGGATATTTGAGAAAGAGGTTATTTGTGATTTATTAATATATTATAAGTATAAATATATTAATTGAGAAATCATATTATTTAATTAGTATTGATCAAGAGTTAATTTGGAATTAATTTAGTGATCAAAAGAGACTAATTAAATTAACGGGGACTGGTTAAGTCAATCAGTAATATTTATAGTTTGGACCAATGATCCATATTGATTAGGATGGACTAGTTCTATGTGGAAGTCCATGAAGAGTTAGTCCATAAGGCCCATCATATGGATTATTGGATTGCTTAAAGGCTTGAGTAAATGGACTAGGGTTTACAAGTTAAACCTTAGGAAGCCCACACTATAAATGTAACCCTTCTTTAGCCAAAATTGTGTACAAGGGTGAAATGACATGAGATAGACGATTTTGTGCTTCATAACTTCTCTCTCAATATTCTCCAATTTTTCATGATGTTTGTGACTTGTTTGAGGCACAACACTTGGGGTGTTAAGCTCTTAAAAGGCCAATGTCTACAAGCTACAACAAATAGGTAATCTTCTAACTTACTTTTGTGATTTATATGTCAAATTGTATGCTAGTTGTAGGCTTAATGCTTTGGAAACAATATTGCATGTATAATTAGAGAAAACATAGATCCAAGGCATTTAGGGGTTGTATGTGCACCATAGGATGTTGTAGTATATAAAACCCAACAATTTGGATGTTAGTTTTCTTCTGGAAGTAACAATTCAAACTTAAAAGCCTTGGTAAGTAGTCGTTAGCTAGATAAGAATAGACACCTGAATTAAATTCTGACGTGACGGTTCGGCGGCCTCTAGCATTCATCATTGCCTATAATTATCTCATCAAACATCTTTTCCATTTAAGGGTCTACAGTATATAACTGCCACTTTGTCTATTTCATAAATGTAGCTTTCCTTAGTTCCATATAAATACCCTTCTTGTTTGGTTATTTTTCCTCACCGACTGTGATCATTTTCAAATTACTCTTTTCTCTCCCCTCTTCGTTTTCGCTTCTTCGTTTCACTTCCTCACGACTAGCAAATAAATTTCAAGTATTCACACCATGAAATCCAAACTTAGTCCTAAGAACCTCTCTGATATCATGAAAAAGTATCATATTGATCCTGATTTCAATCTTCATTTTCCCAAGCCTGGGGATGCCATTGTTGACACTCCAGAAGGTTTTGTTGCTGTATACTGAGTTTTCTTTAAATCAGGGGTTACGATTGCCGAAATTTGAATTCTTAATGACAGTTCTAGATTACTATCATCTGCACATCACTCAGATTACTCCTAATGGTTTTCAGAAAATCATTTGCTTCGTGATGTTATGTTCTTCCGTAGACGTTACGCCTTCTATCACCCTATTCCACCATTTATACATTACTATGTCCAATGACGATTGGGTATCTTTCTCCCTTTGCCATGGCCCGGTGGAGATCTGCAACGGTATTCCTACTTCTACAAATTATTAGAAGGAAGAGTTCTTCTTCATTCGTGCTTTCGCTTTTGTTGGGCGTATGTTGTATGGTGTTACTGCTAACAGGGTTGCCAATCCTTATCCTATATTATCTCTTGAAGAACAAAATATTGCAGACCCCTTATCAGATAATTTCGCCAAGTGGGTCGATCCTGAAGAAATAATGTTAGGTATGGTAGGAATAAGCTCTTACTAGAACAAATTGGGTAAGAAATCCATGGAAACCCTAGTGGATCGTGAGATTACCCTGCTAGAGCGGTTACATCGAAAAGGTTTGGTTGGTTCTTCCCTAGTCACCGAGGAAGCGTGTAACATTCATAAAATTCTCAAAAAAATTTAAACTTTCAAATTACTCAAAAACCATCATAGTTTACAAATTGTTTCAAAATAAGTTCAACATCAGAGAAATCCCAAAATCGTGAAATAAAATATGAGGAGGTGCAAGGTCACGCCTTCGCCTTCTCGCGATCCTCAGAAGTTCATGAAACACTATCCAAACTGTAAGCCCAAAGCTTAGTGAGTTTCCACCAAAATACCAATACATAGAAAACAACACAAATATAATAACAACATACTATGGGCCCAATCAACCATCGGGTTGGAATACCCTAGGCCCCTCAACCATCGGGTTGGAATGCCAACATACTATGGGTCCAATCACCATCGGGATGGAATACCCTAGGCCCTCAACCATCAGGTTGGAATGCCCCGTCATGTTGGCATACGCACAAAGCAGTGAAGCCTCAGCCACCAACCAATCATGTGCACATAATACAGATAAACATACTACTAACCAGTCATCAAACAGACATACATATCTTAAAGCTCACTAAGCATAGCAATATCCTAAATACCAGGATACCGATCTAACATATCACTACAACACTATAGCATACATAGCAGGATATCAAATCCAAAGGGTCGGCCTTGGTGCCTTCGACCCGCAAGTACAGTGAGGAAGACTCACATCACAAGTAGTGCAGAACTATTAAGATCTAAATCCGAATCTTAGCTCCCAACTCAAATGCCTACAACCACCATGTGACCAATTCCATCAAAATCCCGAAATACGCAAAATGCCCTCAAAGTCAAACTTGGTCAACCATGGTCAAAGTCAAAGTCAACGGTCAAGGTCAACAGTCCATGTCGACCCAACTCGTCGAGTGCACCAATAAACTCGTCAAGTTCCTATAGTAATCAGAAGGTCGGGAAAATCCCAGCCAACACGCCAAGTTGGCTTGCAAACTCGACGAGTTTGTCCGAGCTTAATACATTCAGCTGATCTTATGATTTCAGGGACTCCAAGACTTAGATCTAACCTCAAATACCATAAAAAAGGATAAAGTTTCCAACTTTATCCTTTAGGGCTACTCCATGAGCTCAAGAACCCATCCACAAGGCTTGAAGATTCAAGGGCTTAACCAATAAGCACTAAATCCTTGAGATCTGGAACCCAACCTTTCCAGAAGAGATTCTAGCCTCAAAGTCGACCTAAAGGTTGGTGCTTTATAGACATGCATGTTCAATGCATGTCTTGAACCCAAAATGGGTCAAAAAGGGGAAATATGACTTAAACTCCATGCATGGCATCAAAACTTGACTAAAGGCCAGATACAAGCTTCTATAAGGTCATCTTGACCTCGAGATTCATAAAGTTGCAAAATTTATGAGGTCCATCCATTGCAACATCCAAGAATAAGGAGAAAAAGGGACAAAACTCAAGATCTAGCTACATAGAGGAATAAAAATTGGATCTTGGATACTTACAAAGGTCCAGAAGAGATTCAAACTGAATATGAGAGCTTTGCTTGCTAGATCCTTACTTCCTTCTTCCAACTTTCTTCTTCTTTTGATTCAAAATGCCACACTAGTTCACAATATGAGAGGGAAGGATGATGAGGGTTCACAAGGGCCAATATGAGGGTTTGGAGGTTGATAAAAGATCAGCCTTAAGGACTTAAGGAGGTTATATAGGGTGCAAAACCCTAAAATTTAGGGTTTCTCATCCAGCCATCAACATGTCGAGTTCCGCTCACCAACTCGTCGTGTTGGTCCATAAAAATATGCGGCCCAAAAGTCATTCAAACACGCCGTGCTGAGGCTACCAACACACCGAGTTCACAAGGAAAAACATACTTAAGGGAATAAATCTCATACCTGGGAATCAGGATGTTACAAAGCGACCATACCTAATTTTCCCTCTCAATCGGAATCTAGTATGGATTCTACTGCCAATCCTTCTGCTTTGGATACTACTTTACCCATGATTCCTTCTCCTACCAAGAAAATTGTGAAAATGGAGCACGACAACAGGAAGCCCCCGTCTTCTTCAGCCAAGGTGGCGTTAAAGGGTCCATCCTCCAAAAGAAAAGTTGGAGCAGAGAAAATCGTTTCATTGGAAGGAATAATGAATCGTCCTGGCAAGTTGATCGATCTATCTTCCCCTAAACGACAAGTTGACTGCCCCCTCACCCACGCAACTTTGCAAGGGTACCCGCGCAAATCAGCTTATCAGCCACTTCATAAGAAAATTTCGAGCCATTTCAATTGCTTCCTTTGTGCGACCAAGCTTTCACTCGTGTGCATTTGGGCGGCCAAGAACTCCACCTACACATCATTGTTACGACCCATGTGTTGCTTCCATACCGTCCTCGTAGGTCTCCACCACCTTGATCCCGGTATGATCCTTCCTTACTCTCATCCTAAGCATTGAGGATTGTTAGGCTTGTCAAACACAACAAATAATAGGGGTACAACAGACTCCAAATACACCGCTTTAATGCACTAAAAATTAGTATAAGGCAAGCAGGGTCGAACCACAAAGACACAGGATAAAATTTTATACCTCTTTGCGCAAGGTACTTTGATCACAAAAGGGGATTTTGTTTGCAAAAGTAAAATAATAAAATAACAATCTACTTTAAAAACATGCAGAAAATGAAATAAACTTGTAAACAATTTGATTGAAAGGTTCTAGTTCTAGTTCTCAATGTTGTTGTTCAACTTGATTATGAATTGATGTAATTAATGATTGCTATTCTAAGTTGGTACCAGAAGATATTAACATGCTCTAATACCTCTCGCTTGCCAAATTACCGAACCAAAAACACGCTCTTTGACTAGACCTAGCTTTACTAATTCAACCTAAAAACGCTCTTAGATTGTATTGAAAAACTTCATTAAGTTTTTTACAAGCTTCCCAACAATGTTCATTTCTTCTCATATGCTCGGAAGTGTGAAAACATGTGATATATGTTTTACAATAAGAAAACTTATTGTTTGTTACTAATTATTAACTTAATAGAACGATTAGGTGCCCTAAAAGTTAATTAACTACAAAATAAATTCAATTCATGAAAGTGTCTAATCAAACAAAAATCAAATTCAAGGGTTCTAGTTTAAACAAAAACATAATCATTAGAATACAATCAAAATTCAAACATCAAATCATATACTTCAAGTCAAACAATCAACATGTTTTGAACAGGAACTAGAAATTAGGGTTTCTTAGCCACACATGGCTAAGAACAAATCAATCAAAAAGAAATATGGAATTAGAAATGTTTAATGCTTACAAAAGGAATCAAAAGTGTTTGCAATGATTAGTAGCCTTCAATAATGCCCTAAAATCTCACCAAAATCGCTAGAGAAAGCTCCTAAAACCGTCTGATTGATAAATGGCGAAATCCCTTTTTTTTAATAACTGCTCACATGCCTAGCTCAAGGGCATACGTTTTTAGCATGGCCATGCCTTTTGCCCATGTGTTTTTAGCATGGGCATGTGTCTTGACCATGTGTTTTAGCATGGCCCATGCTTTTTTGCTAAACACGACCCATGTCGGTGTGACATGAACCGTGTTTCAAACGTAGTCCTTTGCTATGATGATATGCAACAACGACTCGGGTTATGTCTTCATGTTTTCTTCCATGGCATGACCGGTCCATCTTCTCTTCATGCTCCAAAGCTCCATGCTCCAAGTTCCAAGCTCCATGCTCCATGTTCCGTACTCCACGCTCCATGCTCCGTGCTCCACGTTCCAAGCTCCATAATGCCTAAAAAATAAATCAAAAATAGTGAAGTACCAGCCATTCTTAATAAAATATGCAATTGCCTAAATAGTTAAATAAATGCATGAATTGTGAAGTAGAATGCTATGAAAGGATGGAAATAAACATGCAAAATACGTACATAAAATGCACCTATCAAGGACAATGCTTCATTTTAAGCTTGGGTGAGGTATTCTTATCTTTTATTTTGTTTGCATTTAGGTTGTATATAGTTGCATTTAGAGTAAGTCATTTAGGTCATTCATAAAAATTGCATAAAAATTTCAAAAATATTGCATATCTTGTTTCTTTCTTTTCTAATTTTCATACTTTTTAGATGCATTCTAGTTTAAGTTTCATGCATTTTTGTTCACTCTTTCTTCTCATCCCTATAGGTACTATAGCGTTGAGCCATAAGTATTGAATCATAGATTGGTCGCAGGTCTTGATATGGAATTCCTCATATTGGACAAATGTGATATGTTATGAGCCTCACATACCACTTTGAGACCGCTTGTGTGGCGGTCAGATACATGTAGCTTGATTGGGTCTAGGTGCGGAGGGATGTGGTTGGTCAGGACGACGTGTGCAAGAAAAGATTAGCCCGGTAAGGTATTTTTGAAGACATTGAAGACTCACATCTTGGTTTTGGGGGGAATACCCCTTAGTACTCTCGAGTCTTGTCCGAGCCTTACTTAGTTAGTTTCTCACCATCTATTTAAGATAGGTCGTCATTTTTGTAACACCTCAAATCGTAGACCAAAATTTTCATTTTTTAATTTACCAAAAACAAGTTTCACAAACCAATTTATCAAACACATAATTATCCAAAACAACCCTTATCACAAAATATCAAAGTTTCTCAAACTGTCATAGTAACAATCCTCCCAACGAGTGTGTACAATCAGACCTTCGCCTTCCTGCGGTCCTCATTAGTACGTGAAACAC